AAATGAATAAAATAAATAAACAAATTTATATCTATTACTTAGCTCCTCTTAAAAGCTGATTAAGAGTAGCAAACTTATACTTCATTTTATTTTCACTTGTTCTTCTTCGTGTTTTCTCCCCTTTCCAAAACAGACATGTGAGAGAGAAAAAATAAAAGCACATGGCAGATGTGAAATATAACAAGTGGGAAACCCAGTGAGCTATTGATCTTTGTTGTCATGGTACAAAGAGGCAAACAAATATCTGCCTCAGGACTGGGTTGTGGTCTGCTAACATAATACACAACACCATCTATCTTTATGAACTGTTTCTCTGGAAACTGTTATCTTTCCTATGAATGCAAAGGACTGTAAGAGTATAGAGAGGCTTGGAATGTAAAACGGAGGGGCGGAAAAAGGACTACAGGAACTTGAGATATTTTTATAAATAAACGTGGCATGAGAGAGTAAAATCCATTTAATTCACGGATATGAACAAGAAAAATAAAATGCCAGAAAAGAGCTATTAAAAAAAAGGTTTATATTATATTAAACCATAAGACACCAATGAACTACACACTCTAGATAAAATATAGCAAGTCAAAAAAACTTTTCTTCCACAACGACACCAACACATAAAGTTACCTTCACAAGTTGAAAAAAAAATCTTACTTAATAATTCAGATACAAAAAATGATGGGGCGCGGGGGAGCGGAGAGAATATAAAAAAACCGCGGAATGACCTTTAAACCAAAGAAAGAAGATAAAGAAAATTATATGAAATCACACTTACTAGTACACATTTCCTTTCCGATGGGTCAGTTAGATGTCACGGTTTGATGTTCCTGAGGATATTTGAGAGAGTGAGAAATAAAAAGAAAAAACAATGGAGAATGCATAGTCTTGGCAACAAAAGGTGGACAAGGAAATGAAAAAACTCACCATGACTTCGGGGATTTCATCATTATGGTTAGATACATATGATGATGTGTCCACAAAACTGGAACCATTGGTTTTGATTTGGCAATGGATCTAGTTATTGACAATGAGGGGGAGAGGGAGGGGGGGGGGACAGGGGGAGGGCGGTGTGGGGGAGGGGGGGGAGTGGATGGGGGGGAGGAGGAGGAGAAGGAGGAGAAGGAGGAGAAGGAGGAGGGAGGTGAAGGAGGGTAGGATGGAGGAGGAGGAGGAAGTGGAGGAGGAGGAGGATGAGGTGGGGGAGGAGGAGGAGGTGGCAGGAGGAGGAGGAGGAGGAGGAGGAGGTGGAGTAGGAGGAGGGGAGGGGAGTGGGGGGGAGGGGCAACGGGAGGGGAGGAGAGGAGAGGAGAGGAGAGAGTGGTGAGGAGAGGAGAGGACGAAGGTCGAGGTGAGGCAGAGGAGAGGAGGAATTGAGTTTTATTTGTGTCCTCACTCAATAAAAAAGTCAAGAGGTTAATTCCTTCTATGAAGAACTTTTTTTGTGAATAATACTTTAGTGCAAATATCCCCTACCACTTTTTATTTTTCCTCTATTCAGAGAGGGTCTTGTCTCGCAAGCACACACTTTTGCACCCAAAATAAAACTTCAGACAATTTTGTAGTTTTAACACTAATCACATGCACAGTTTGTCAGCTCGGGAAAAGGGCTGTTACTGCACTGCTCTCTTGCACTAGAGAAGGTACCACAGCATTATCTAAGAAGATGAAATTTTTATGCCAGAATATTCCCCAGGGAGGTCCCTTAGGACTCAGAAAATGTGGCCCAACCCTTTGGACAACTATCTTATCACCTACGCCAGCATACTATACCATTTTATCGGATGTCCAATTTGGCTATTCATCTTTAGCAGATGTGAAGTGTATTTGTAATTTTAACTGGTTCAACATGGGCCTTCACCTGATGAAGACTGTCAATGCATTTAATAGTACTTAG